ATTCAGCCTGAACACGCTCGGCCAGCTCGTCGTCGGGGATTCAGTCATATCCGTGAACCCGGGGACGCCCTTCATCCCCCTCCGGCCCATCAGCCCGCCAGGAAGCATCACCGTCACCTTTGCTCTCCGCAACGGCGCGCTGACCTGGTCAAACCCGGCTTTCTTTGGCGGCCAGGCTGGGTTCTGCCAGGACGCGGCGGGCCAGGTGTATGCTACCTTTGCTGACCCGACCGTGTCGTACCCAGCGAACTGCGCTCCCGTTCAACTCGGTCCCGTTGTTGGTATGTTTCCACCTTTCTACTTATTTTTTGTCTTGTTGGATGGAAGCTGTAAGACGCATGTTCACTAACACCAAGAAAAGCATCCACTTGTGGAAACAACGGCGGCACCACCACGGCGTCCGGCAGCGTTACCACTGTCGGCAGCACCATCGTCAGCACCGGCCCGGGCGGCAGCCTCACCACCACGGTCAGCAGCTTCACCACGACCGTCGCCCCGCCGTTTACCGTGCCGACGACGTCGGCCGTGGCCAACGGCACCCTTACCCTCCCGCCCGGCTTGTACACTGTAGCCGGCTTCGCCAACCCGGCAGGCGCCGTCTGCTCCATCGTCTCCGAGTCGTGGATCATTGGGCAGACGACATTGCTTTCCCCGCTTGCTACCGGCTCAGTCTAGTATGGGTTCCTTGTCTAGGGCAGTTGTCGATAAGCCGTGCATTTGGGGAATTTCAGAAGGCTGAGGTACCTCGAGGGATACAATCTTTGGGGTACGGAGTACGGATACTTGGATGCGTGGTATTTGAGCAGGGGAAATTTTGAGGTCACATTTAGACACATTAATAAAAAGGTTAACCAAAAAGTCAACTTCTGTATTACTTGGCTAGCCATTTTGAGAATGATGCGGCAACACGGCCTTGGATTGATTGTCCCCCGGAGAATTCAACCTTATCACCTCGAATCTTTGTCTAATTGGCCTCGCGAAGATGATGCGGCACGTCATTATGCAAGGCGCGGCGCTGCTCTTCTTATCTTGCCTCGTTTGATGCCGCGCTGTCACGGGCTTGTTCGCGTCTTTTCTTACTCTGCAGCGTTGCATTTTCTCACGAGATAAGGCAATAGTTTGATCAGCCGTGAACGGCCAGTCAATTCCCCCTTCGGCGACGGACGGACTTTAGATATTGAATGTTGGCGGGCAATCTTGGCGAACAGACAGCAAACACGGATAACCAGGTAAGGATAGAGGGAGTAAAAGCAAGAAAAGGGCAGCAAACTGGTGGTGCGGATTAGCCGTGATTCGCGCCCGGCAAGGATGTTGCTGCTGGTGGATGCTTGTGAAGCTCAATCTGGGGGAGAAGAGGGGGGGAGGTCAATTTGGAGGGGTGAGACTTTCTTGGGTGAACGTCACCTACTCCGTAAACTACATTGTAGGGCAGATGCTCATAGTAGTACTTTACATCCTAGATGGGCCGGTGTCGATGTTGGTTGTTGGTTGAAACTGAGTTCTCTTCTTGATATTGCTCTAGAGAACTGGAGTCATCGTGTTAATCAAAAGCAGAAACTCTCACCCCGCTGTGATCCCCGTGGCACACGTCATTTGGTTTATTGACGGCAAGGACAATCCGAGGGGGTACTTTGGAAGCTGAAGAAAGGTATGGATACTGAATCAGCGACGTGCGTGAATCCCGAGGAAGTTGCAGACCACGAGAACTTGCCATTGCAAGAGAGATACATAGTACATCCGTACGTGCCACGGCATCGGGAAAGAGCGAGCAACTACCTAGGTACTTTAGTGTAATGGAACTGAGCTGATTGATCTGCCCGCAATCAAACCTTTTTTACTCGCGTGCTGCAGCTTGAGCTGCAACTTGCCTCACTCGCATCATTGCCCATGGCGAGCCTGAGTCGACAGATTTGCTTCTTCTTCGGCCGGACCAGCCGCTCGCTGGCTCTCTCTGCTGCCAGCCTACCGGGCGAATTCGCTATCAGTTCCAAGACATCCAATCCAATCCAGCCCAATGAGTCCAATCCCATCCCACTCATCCCACCACCACCCTCAAAATGGCGTTGGTCCATGCCATCCACACCCAAGAAAGAGGCCCCAACACCCAACCACCACCACGAACCCAGTCAGTCAGTGGTGCCAGTTCCAACACCACCAAGTTGGGTTACCAGCACACCTTCAGCTTTTTTTCGGGGGCTTCACAGAGTGACGCCAGAGACACAGCATCTTGCAGAATCGACAATCAGCAACCTTGCGGTCTGAAGCAATGTCACCCACCCGTTTGCCAAGTCCGCCGCGCCTAACCCCAAGAAACTCTGATATCGAAAAAATGTCGGAAGGGCAAATGTGAAAGAGTGCGAGGTGAGAGTATGAGAGAGATACCTATGCGACCTCACCTAACCTACCTCCTCTTACTTCTCATCTCTCTATTCGTAGAACTAGGACGCGAAAGATATGTACGCAATCCATGGCCTGTGCATCGCCAATAGCTCCCCTCTGATTGCTTGCCAGCAAAGAGCTGCGACGAATAACGACTCTCCGAAACCGATGGCATCAAAGACCATCACATCTAGACAGACGCCAAAAAAACAATAGACGATGGTTCGGAGAAAGAATCTGGGCCCAGGCCGTCGATTGGAGACCGGGGGGGCTAGGGGACGGCTGCTCTGGGCTACGCTACCACTACCAGGGGGGGATGGGAGGAGCCTGAGAGGAGGCTAGGGAGCAAGTCACATCCATGATGCATTGGGTCACGTCGCGTTGGATCGGATCCTGACACTCGACTCACTGACAAGGACCCCTCCACCAGGCTGGGCACCCCACCACCCCCTTTGGTCTGGGCAAGGTCACAGTCTGTCAGTCTCTCACTCTGTTCAGTCTTTGCTCCCCCACCACCCACTCTCCGGCCGAGCCAAGAACCCCGTCCGTTGGTCCCAGACGCTGGCAGCACGCTCGCCGCCTTGTTTGGGCTTGACAAGCCATGGCGGCGGCCCCGCCAGTCATGATTGGCGTTCCCATGGTTCCGCCTTATCGAGCCTGTGAGAAGCTCCGGAGACACGGTGACACGGGTGACACGCGCACTCGGCGAGGGGGGACCCTTATCAGAAATCTGCAAGACAGCGGGTGCGGATTTGCGGCTTGCCCTGCTTCTTGCAGTAGCTGTTACTGCTTGCTGCAATCCTTCCCACCGCCCAGCCCTTGCCATCACCATCCTAGGTTCTGCTGGTCCCAGCAGCACGCCGCACGCGCGACACTGGCGCTGGCGCGAGAAGCACGTTGACCGGGGGGTTGTCTGTCAGTATGTATCTGAGAAAGAGAGATACAGCGGGAGAGAGGGTGAGGAAGAAGAGACGGAGAGACATGGATGAAGAGAGAGAGAGAGTGTGTGTGTGTGTGTGCGTCTCCATGTATCTCTTGCAAATGCATCCAACCACTGGCGTCACCGCGGAAAGAGATAGACAGGAGAGAGGAGCCAAGAGAGCGCAGAAACAACCAACCAGTGGTGCCACCCGACCCGATGATACGGATATTAGGGTTGATATGGCGGTAACATGCGGTATACCTCACCTCTAGCTCACCCACATGCATCAAGCCACCAACAAAAAAACCGGCGCAGCAAGAAAAGAGATACATGACACTTCCAGGTTGGGTTGGGGGGTGAGGTTTCCAGAGTGACGGTCATGGTCTCCTGGTTAAGAATCATAAGAGGCAGAGGGAAAAAAGAGTAGCAATACGTATTACCAGCAAGCAGCCCCGGTTCGAGCTGAAGGAAAAGAGACCCAAAGTAGCTTGGCTGTGCCGTACGTCTAACGTCTAGCGGCGGAGGTACTTCGTTTCGAAGCTTGGTTTGAAGGAGGTTCCCATTCGCACGCGCACACGACGACAATCTTTCTCTTCTTTTTTTTGCCCTTCTCCCATGCCCATCCCGATTCCCCATCCATCCCATCCCATGCTCCATGCTCGTTGCTCATTGATCAGTGCTCGCAGCTCTCTCTCATCCATCCCCGGGCCTGTCCAGTCCTGTCCTGTCCAGCCCACGCCTACCGATCCTACTTAACCAAAGTCCACCCACTCTTCAAAATTTTCCTTTTCCTGCAGATTTTTAAGGTCCCAAGCCTTTTTCTTCTTCATTTCCCACTTATTAGTCTTCCCATTTTGCTGGACGAAGGAACGGGGGTCAAGTAACAAAGTAACAAATACCACAAGACCCTTCTTACTCTCTATTTAATCCTTTTTTCCGAGCTTTGTTTCTTTCCCTCTTCCCCTGGCTTCTTTCTTCATCAAGCCCCCTTCACCAGCCACTTTTGGGACGGGATCCCCGACGACGGGTGCGCGGGCGATTCATCTTACAGATACCTGTCTGTGTGCAAGTCCAACGGCCGACTCAAAACCAACAGACACAGTCCAAGACCCAGGCACCACAGACCTTGACCAGACCAACCTTACCGGCGATAAACCACCATACTACTAATACCCAAGGGCATAACGCAACGGCCACCAACAACTCTGTTCCCTGGACATTCCAGCCACCCCCAACGCCGACGCCAAAGACACGAACGAACGACGTATTTGGGGCCTTCTTTGGACGACCTGACCTGGCCAACCCTGGAGGATATATAGACGATAGACGGAACCCATCGATCCATGTTGCAGCCCCCCCTCCCGTGACAGGGTCCTCTCTCTTCTTTCCACTCTACAACCTCACGAGACCACCATCCATCTTGAGCTTCGCGGCGGCGCTTACCATCGTCTGTCGCCAGCTGCCGCCACTAAGAATTCAACCAGCCCCAACTCTCCAATTTCCAACCACCCCAGAGCCGGCGTCTTTTATTCCCTGTTACCGGCGGTTCTCCCTAGTCTTGACGGCAAACCCGCCCCCAACAAGACGAGACGTATCCGTACAATTGCCCGCCTAATAAGCGACCGATTTCTCCTTCCAGGACCGGACAGCCAGCAACGAAACTGGGTCGTCAAGTCGACTAGACCAACGGGCCAATAAGATGGATTCACCACACCACATGGGCATTCGCGAGCTCAATGTGAGCAACTGGCACTCTCACAATGCCCTTACCGATACCTTCAATCATGCGGTCCCCGCAATCAAGACAAGCGCAGGTAAGAGAACACGAATTTTTTTCTCTTCCCTCATTTGGTTTCTCGTTGCGTCTTCCCTGCGCTTCTGCCCTGCGGCTCTTTAAATCAATTCTTCTTGGCCACATATTCTTCAACGCTACCTCTCCTCTCACCTTGGCATTTTCATTCAACCTCACTTCGTGTTGTGTGTCTCTTTCACAACTCAATCATACCGCCTACACCAAAACCCGAACATCGTCATCAAGTTCATCCAATCTCATTTTCCAACGCTCCGGCAGGATCGTTTGGGGATCTGGCTTTTTTTCAGAACGTGCAGCAAAAGCGCCGAAAGTTTCGGTCACGTTCACGGTTATCGGCCTCTCGGTGCTCTAGAACCAATCCAGAAGAGGACGTGGAACACAAAACTCTCATCTCAACTATTGACAAGCTTTTCATCCTGTCTGTCACAACCTCGCAAGTCACTTCACTACATGACCACATTTCTTTTTTTTTTTCTTCCTCTTTCCACTTGGCTTTCATTAATGCCCTCAACTTGGACCCGGCATCACGACGAAAGCAAACTGACCAGTCTATCCAGCCTTCTTCACATTTCTCCGCGCCAACTTGGTCCTGAACCCATCCGCCATGTCATCCAACACCAACACACCCGTCCTCCAGCCTACGGTGGCTTCCAATACCCACCGCCCGGCAGCCCCGTCTCCGCTGGCAACATCTCAGACTCTCGACCCCTTTGACGACATCCCTCCTTTGTCGCTCGAGGTCCTCTCCACCCGCGAGGATAAGGCCGAAGCCCTCCACCTCGTAGCAGACTCCATCGCCCAGCAGCGCCAACAGGCCGCCTACTCACTCGTCTTCCACCCCGTCCCGCTCGCAGGCCTCGCAGCGACCCTCGGCGTCGCCTACCAGTACTCCTACGCACGCCAAGGCGACATCGGCCTAGCCTTCACCCTCTTCAGCGGCGTTATCATGACCTACCTCCTCGCTATCCGCTGGGCGACGAGCGGCTACCTGCCCCTCGCAGAGCAAATGTCCTGGTCCTTCATCCGGCCCCACCCGGACGCCTCCGCCGACGAAGAGGACCTCGTCCTCGGCACCCGCTTCGGGAACGAGCTCGTCGGCGCCTTAGTGCTGCACCTGGAGCCCGCGAGCCCGGCCGTCGCCTCCACCTTCGGCAGCCGGCGCCGCAACAAGGCCTCGAGCTTCCGCGGCGGAAAGGGCATCATCCGCGCCTGGACGACGAAGCTCCGGTACCGCGGTAAAGGCGTCGGCACCGACATGCTCGACGAGGCGGTCCGCATCACGCGCGAGCGGTGCGGAAAGGACGCAGAGGTCGGCTTCGCGCTCGAGCACGCCAACAGCCGCATGGTCATGCCCGAGTTCTTCAACGGCGTGTTTAGGAAGCGCGAGCGCTGGGCCGCCAAGACACTCGATGGCGTGTTGGCTGAGCGGGAGCTCACCAAGAAGAAGAGGTGAAGATCGTCGTCGTCGTCGTCGTCTCACTTCTCCATCTAAAGAACAACAGATATTTGTTCTATCTCGTATTGCTACTACCCATTTATTCGCAACTCTTGGTGTGTTCGCGCGCGCGTGTGTGTTTCTTCTGTTGTTCCCTCTTTTCGGACAACTAGGCGGGGACGGTCGATGGAAATTGGTTACAAATATACCCTAGAGCTGTGGGAAACGACGGGCCAGGTGTCATTGACACGTTACTGGTGTAGGATCCCGCGGGCATCTCTTTTATCTTTTGGTTGTCTTATCTTTTTCAAACGATACCCCTCGTTATATCAAACGGCTTTTCATCTTTATACTGGGCGCCTCGGGTGGCGATTATACAATTTGTATAGAGCGGAAAGATTTGGGGAGGGAGTCAAGAGTTCTTCGTGGTACACCCTTCCCGTTAAAGAGCGTGGAGACGTGGACGTGGCAAGAAAATATCACTAGACGTGCAGCTTGGGGAAAGGGAAGAGTGGGAGAGAGGTCCTCGTAGACCATCCGTCCCCTTCCCTCCTGCTGCCTAATATAAACCCTTCGTTTGGCAACGTATCTATCTGTTCACACTTTCTTGGACTGCGGCGAACAAAGTATGGTTGAAAACTTGCAGCGTTCTGTGATCAGCTACAAATAACACTTCCCAGCGGGATGCAATAAGGACAATTGGCTACTCAGACAGGGCAGCTGAAGCACGATTCCTGATGGCTTCCCAGGTCATGACGCTCAATATCGCCCATTTACCCAGAAACTAGTCTCAATCACGATCCGATGTCAATATACGACTCAAACATCCCAAACTAGAAAAGACCTAGATTGCCTCGACATGGCTTACATCATTCACGACTGATCGTCTCGATGCGCTCATCCCGCGCTCCGCCGAGAGCTGGCTTACGATAAAATCTCACTTCATTTTCGCTGACGCCGTATACTACTGACTTTGTCTGCTCACGTGCCCAGGATCGAGAACTGACAATGTACGGGATGTCCATTCCTTCCTCCCTCCTGAGGCTCGGATATCCGGAGAGGAGTCTCCAAAACCCTTTTTCTTTCAGTCTTTTCTTCGCGATGACATGATACCTCTCTCCTCCGTCGTTTCAGGCGGTCGATAAGTTTCGCGCATCCCCGGGCGAGATTCTCCTGACCATCGAGGATCCTCTCTTGCGAGGCCTCATAACCCCAACGTCGGGATCCAGAAAGAAAGTGAGACACACACATATCCCTATTCCGTAGTCCTTTCTCGTCCATACTCGCTTCAACCGTAAACGCCAGAGGTGCCTATACCTCACAAGACAAGTAAAGAAGGGCCCAGAAAGGGTGATAAGGTCCAACAAATAGCTGTGGTGATGGCACGCTTTTCTGACTGATGGTGGAAATCCTTTTTGGCGTTTTTGACTCACAGCTTACCTCTCTCAAGCTTGAAGAGACACAAGAGGAGGTAAACCGGCCAACCCCTCTCAGCCCTGGACACCTGCTGCCTTTGCCTTGCGCGACTTCGGGTCGACAAAGGTATCGGGGTCGAAGCCGTAGATAGGCATGCCTTTGCGGGCCAGAGAATGCAAGACCTAAGGGGAGGGAAATTTCAGATACCAATCATCACAGAACAACACCGGCCCTGCCACTAGAATCTGACGGAGGCAGGTCATGAGACTTACATCGTGAATAGTGATAGTCTTCGCCTTCCGATGCTCCGCATATGTCACGCAGTCTCTTAGGACCTATTCGTAACTCGTTAGCCTTTCATGAAGCCAAAAACAAACAAACAGAATTCGGTTTATATGAGAGTGTGTGCTTACAGACTCGAGCCAGGTCTTCAGGGCCTCACGAGCGTCGTCGTAGATCATGGCGGAAATCCGCTTGACGCCGCCACGACGAGCCAGACGACTAAAGTGAGAGAAGACAGTTAGCTTAAAAATTATTTCTCAAAGGGAAGGGGGAAGGAGGTAGGTGTAGGTAGCCGCCATGGTAGAGAGACGCAGGTGAAGTGGGCCAGGATGATGATGTGCGTGATGAGACTGAAATGAGATTCGATCGAGGAAGAGCTCAACTCAAGTCCCCTTCATCACCGTCATCTCAGGGAAACCCCGAGACCATCCGCCTCACCCGGGAGCCTCAAGGATTCTCAATCAAGGAGAAAACTTCCTGCAATCAAGGAAGAAAAACATACCGAATAGCAGGCTTAGCTAAGCGAGTAATCCGGGTCAGCTCCTCAAATCCAAGTGTGTATAAGCCGTCAACTGAGTCAAGTGCAACATACTAATACCCCGGATACAATCCTTCATAATTTTTCTAATCCTCCTAGTCAGTAGCCGAATCTCACCTGCCGTAAGTGAAGATCGATAAAAGGAGACCACTTACCGGTGTCTCTTTGCACCGGTCCCCGCGTTCTGCAGCACAGTCTTGCCCTTGCCGCCTTGATGCACCTTTGAAGCGGTGCCCCGCTTGCCGCCGGAGCTCGAGGCCCACGGGCCGCCGCGAAATGCGGGCGCGGGCGGCATGGTGAAATAGTGATGAAGTCAGTGTAGACTGTGGAATGAGGAATATTGCTGGTGCTTTCTTTTAGATCGTGAATCGCCGAACTGGGAGGTGAAGGTGAGGATCCGTGGGTGGGTGGGTGGACGCGCCGCTTGGGGACTGCTGTTGGGGACTTGGGACGGGGGAGTTGGCAGCGATTATGTGGGGGAATAACCGTAAGCTAAGGAGGTTTTGAGGTACCCAGAGACAATAGAAGTACTGGATGCAGGGCAGTGGACTTACTGCGTAGTAGGTAGGTACCTGCCATCGATCCAATGGAGACAGGTGCGGCAGGGACGTTTCTGCCTTGCCTTATCGGTCACGTCGCGAGTCTTATCGGCTCAACATGGCCCGTGCTGAACTGCCCCGTGCAAAAACACCGTAGAACCACACACCACACACTGTCAAAACTCATCGCTCGCAATGCAGGTGCAGGGAACTTGCCGGCGAATGTTTGTCATATGTCTTGTTTCAAGATAGAAACTCTGAAGTCGGGGTCGGGGTCGGGGTCTATGTGATGCCCCAGCTTTCGGATAGCTGAGAGCTGGAGCACTTTGGCACGAGGAGCTATGCTGGCTGCGGGAGCACAGGATTTTCAGTGATCAGAAACTTGCACGACATATTCAGAATGTTGAAAGTGTGTATTTGTATTAGAACAACTTTATAGAACAAGTATGCGTACCCAATTCAACGAGTGACCATAGCCCCCATCTGAACGCCTAACCAGACCGGCAACAACTACCCAAGAATTTCATCGCCGTCGTTTCATTGTCCATACGTCTATTCGGAGATGAAGGTGGCCTCGCTGAAGCAGAGACCCTCTTCGGAGATTTCTTGGTCTCCAATCTTGAGCTTCAAAGTGAGCTTCTTCTCTGTCGGGCAGTACTGTAATCGTTGTCAGCTTGGTTCCTTGAGCCACTAGGGGCTCGAGCCGGGGACTTACCTGGTAAATGTACGGCTTAGTGCCGGCCGTGCCAGCTACTATCTTCTTGACGAAGCCGGGGACCTCAGCCAGTACGTCCACTCTGTCCAGCCTCTCGCCCAGAGGGCCCTCAATGACACCCTCCACGGCCTTGCCATCCTTGTCCGTGCCGGACCAAGTGAACTTGATCTCCTCGGGCTCGGGCCACTCGTTGACGGAATCGTTCTTCGCCTTGGTGTGCTTGGCCGTCTGCGTGACGCCACCGTAAATCATCTCGCCGTCCTTGGCGATACCGCCAACGCTGACCGTGGTCGAACCATACGAGGGAGGGGTGGTGTACTCCATCATGACGGCCGAGTAGTTGGGGCCCTGGAAGTCGACGAAGTTCCACTTGGCCGCCGCGTGGTGAGGCTTCATGCCCTGCAGCGCGTACACGTAAAAGGCCCGACCCTTGAAGTCGACGGCGCCGTCCTTGGTGGTGATTGTGCCCTCGGTGATGCAGCGCGGCCAGAAGGCGTGGCGCATGGTGCCCCAGGGCTTCGACATGTCGGTGCCGAACAGCGTCTTGCCCGTCTTGCCAGCGTGGAAGCCGGGCGACATGCGGGTGACCTTGAGGTTGACAATGGCGTTCTCCGAGTTCATGCTCTTGATCGTGTAGTAGGTGCCGTCCTCGGACAGCTCGACGGCGCAGTCATCGGCGTAGAAGGACATCCGGTCTTCGCTCACCTCGTAGTGGCTGAGCTGTGTGGTCTCCCAGAGCGTCGGCTTCGACTTGTTGGGGTAGAAGATCTTGGCGTTGAACTGGCATGTTGTGCGGATGCCACTGTTTGAACATAGGGTCAGCATAAAGAGACAGGTGTGAAAGACAAGGAAGCTATCCCATACCCAACGTTGCTGTAGATGATTTGGGCCAGCCCAAGGTGTCCGTTGTCGCCCATGAGGTAGAAGCTCTGCGTCTCAACAGAGGTCGAGTCGGCCGCAATCCATTTCAAGTCATCCTTGGTGGTCTCCGTGTGGGTAGTCGTCTTGGCCTCTTCGGCGACGGATCTGATAGCTGTTGGGCCGTAGATGGGCTCTTGGGTACCTGCCACATCGGCGAGCCTGGCAGAATCAAAAGGTTAGCCTTGGCTGACGCAACATTGAGGGACGGCAAACACTAATTACTTTTGTTGCGCCCACTTGAACATGTTGACGGCAGGACGCGTGAACGGGTGACGACGGATGGAAACGGGAGGGGTATAAAGGGTGGTCGTCGATGGCGGTAAAATGCAGCAGGTCTATACACGGGTAACAAGAGAAACAAGCTTCTTGGTGGTGTTCTTAAGAGGAAAACCGAGTTGAGAAGAAGTTGAGTTGACCGCCCCAAACAAGAGCCAGCGGAGGGGCCGAGGGGTCATCCCACGACCCAATGACGGTGAAACTGTGGCTAATGCGACCAGGGTGGATCCTGCGCTCCCCCGAGCATCCCGGTCGCTTGGACCTTTGGCGCGTGGCTGGTGCTTCAAGGCTCCTAAATTTTCCACCTCCGAAAAGGTGCAGCATCAGGTCT